AATAGACGTGTGTAAATATATATATAGATACATATATATTTTTGGTATATCTGGTGGGACATCTTAAAGCTTAACGGCCACTTCTGTTCACGTAAGGGCCAACTTTCTTAGCCATTTCGTTCGCAGTGGCTTGTGATATTATCGCCTAACAAGCGGAAAATGCCGTCAACTTTGAAGCGAGTGAGCGGCAGCAACCTTTCAACGGGGCAGGAAGCGGTAAGCGGGACCCTGGCACGGATGGTCGAATGGCGAATGGTGAATGGCGAATGGTGAATGACGGCGGGGGATGCCACCCAAAATAAGACTCGCAGACGCACAGCAATTTAGATATTGATTTAGATAGCGCTGTAAATACTTGTGTAGTAACGAGAGTATTTACAGCAGGAAACGAGCATACACGACGGCTACGTGGCTGCCTAGGCGGCGGGCTGGCGGGCTGGCGGGCTGACGGGGTAGACAGTTGAGGTTGGCTGCTGTGAATGCTGTGAATGCCAACGTCAATGCCTGACCACCGACCATCGGCGGCACACCGAACTCTTGTTGTAATTGCCAATCGTCAAATGACTGATTTGAGATTTTCGTTTAATCATTGGCATTCGTTTACCATTAATTATCCGAACAATATGTGCAATTAATTTCAGTTCAAGACATTGTAGCTAAACGTCTGCATTTCAACAAGCAAATGCAAAGCAACAACCAAATAATCTGAGAAGCTGAACTGCAGCAGAAAACAGCTTTAATTTAGTATTTGAACTCAAGTTAGGGCATGTGATGAAAGCTACTAAAATTACAATGCACTGTGTTTAGTAGCAAAGGCTAATGAGTGAGCCCTTTTCTAATTAAATATTAGCACATAGACATATATCGTGGGCTCATTTAGGGTTAACATTTGGTTTTTGGATGTTGTTTGAAGGAGTTGAGATGGTTTCCATTAGGTAATATATGTACTTAAAATTTTCACAGATTTAAAATTTAAATTATATATTATGTTTATTCTATATGCATTTTTATTGATTGA